GGCTCCCTGCTCAGCGGGGAGCCTGCTTCTCCCTCTAACCCTACCCCCTCTCATGTACTCTCTCTCATTCTCTCTCTCAAATAAATAAATAAAATCTTTAAAAAAAAAAAAAAAAAGAGAGGGAACATAAGCAGGGGGAGTGGGAGAGGGAGAAGCAGGCCTCTCGCTGAGCAGGGAGCCCGATGCGGGACTCAATCCCAGAACCCTGGGATTATGACCTGAGCCTAAGGCAGACGCTTAACGACTGAGCCACCCAGATGCCCCATAACCACCCTCTTTTTTGAAGCACTCGATGCTCTTGGCATCTGTGACACGGAGTTTCTCGAGGTGCTTTGAATCTTCCTCCTTGGTGGCTTTGAGGCCCTCGCTAGATCTTGGAGATCCTGGCCTTCTGTACCTTACCGTCTTCTCTTTTTTATCCACCTCTCCAAAGCCGGCGACTTCAGAATCTAGGTCCCAGCTCTGACATCACTCTTGAGCTAACAGCTTTATTAATAATCCAAATGCTTGCCCAGTTCCCACAGTCAAACTCTGTGTGTTCCCGTCTCCCATCTGAGCTGTTTGACGTCCCTCCCGACCTGCTGTTCCTGTCCATTCTCTGTTCGTGACGCCTTCATTACCCAGAAGTGAAAGCCAGAGAAACCTGTGGTCCTCTTCCTTTCTACATCCGTCTGCCACCAAGTGGAAAAGTATTTTCTCTCTCCTCTTCACCCACAGCCTCAACTGCTTCCCTGCGCTATTCAGTAGCCTCCTAATTGGTCTACTGTGATTCCTTTCCAGTCTAGCCACCACACTGCAGCCAAGGAATTAATCGGAAATGCAGATCCGGCCAACGTCTCCCGGCCGAACGTCCCTCAGTGGCTCTGCATCGCCTGCTGATGGAGGCCACGCTCCTTACACCACGACCAGTGCCTCTCGTTAGCCCTGGTTGGCTTCACGCCCCCTCCCTTTGCTCTTTTTGCTTGTATTTCAGCTTCCAGTAATTCTTGTTTATTTTCTTCCCAGTGTACTCTCTTTACATTTTTTAAAAACGTAACACACTTACACACTCACCTAGCTAGGTCCCCTAGTTAGAGAAACTGCAGCTTCCTGCCCCCCATTTCTCTGTCCCCATAGCCAAGCCTCTCAGCTACAGCTGGTTCTCCTTGTGCGTATTTCTCTATCTCTGAATTGCATGCTTGTTGCTTCCTGACTCTTCACTCTTAGGCTTTGTCTTTGTCTTACTGTGGGAGATGAGCTCTCCGCTCTCAGGCTTCTTCTGCCTCACATCCCACATTTCCATCCCTCCTTTCTCCCAGCAGAGTTGTGTGTTTTCGTTAGATTGTTATTCCTTAGGCTGGCCTCTTAGAAAAATTACTAAATACAGTTTATGTATTTATTTTCCATGTATTAATGCTCTGGGGTTATGGTTGTTTTTTAAAGGACCATGGGTCAACATTTTTTTTAATTCCTCAATCAATGAAGGAACTAGTGAGATGTTATAATCAGCTTAAAAGAGAATTTAGACAAAACATGCACACACATGTAATCAGGAACACCAAAGTGAGGTACAAATGGATGTAAGAAATGGTCAGTATCCACAGGGTAATAATTCCATTCCTCTGAACAAAATTTTTAATTTCTTTGGATAAGAAATCTTTTGCCTTGGGGGCACCTGGGTGGCTCAGTTGGTTAAGCGTCTGCCTTCGGCTCAAGTTATGATTGCAGGGTCCTGGGATTGAGCCCGGAGTCTGCTTCTCCTCTGCCTCTGCCTGCCTGTCTCCCTACTTGTGATCTCTCTCTCTGTCAAATAAATAAAATCTTAAAAAAAAATACACAAAAAGAAGCATAAATTAAAAATATTTTGCCTTCCTCTCACATTTTTTACAACTCAGATTCGTACAGCAGCTCAGACAGGTGCAGGGCTCCATAAACTTAGGTAACCCAAGGACGCACTGGACAGCACACCCAGTCAGCTTGTTGTTTGCCCATCTCAAGGCCCTTTCACAGCCTTTCCTGACATATCTTCTCCATTGGGGGCATAACTATGGCAAAGAAAGATGATTCTTGGTCACAGAAAAGGCTGGTCCCATTAGGGTTGCAGGGGCAGCAAGAGTGTTAACCATATGTCACCTTGAGTTTGCTCTTGAACAACCGCTGAGGTCACAAATCAACTTCTGTCCCGAAGTTTTCACACAGAATCTCGGACTGGGCGAGTCTGAGAGTGGGGAGGTAAGCCCAAGAAACTTTCTCCACCATGTTTTTACTTGTAGTACCTATAAATTCGGGTGAATTCTTCTCTTATCAAGGCTCCAAAATTTGCTAAGGTTCCTGACCTGCCAGCCAGTGATCTTCCTTACCACCTTGAGGCTGCAATGTTGTATGCTGGGACCTCTCCATGCTGGTTTTTCTTGGGAGGGCTTTGTGGACATTAGATCTGTAAATAAAGTTGACCTTGATTCCTTAAAAGTGGCTTGTCCTGCTTGAGTCACTGAGAATCATTCTCAAATAGGACACATCAGGGCCTTGGTTTGCATAATAGAGTCATCCAGTTATGTCCTGATTAAAGAGAGGGCAGATTTTTATTGAACCCACAAATAACTAAATAGTTGTGAAAAGTACAAAACCTAAGAATGTATTTTTTTTAATGTTTAAGTATTTTTAAGGAAACACTGCATTAATAAAGTACTGTGTTTTTTTAAGTATGTTCTTTTTATTGTGATCTCTAATTGGTAGGTTGTCATCCTGTTTTCTATCAAAATGTGGGAATCCTTGGTACCAGAGACTGTTAAAGAGATCTTCATATTTGTTAGGAAGTACCTGGTGTGTGTGGGCTCTTTTAAGCCTCTGTCTTCATAATAATACTTTTAATTGGATTATCTCTTCCAGGTTCATATTGAGATCCATTGAAGGCATTGCGCTGACTGACAGAGGCGTGTCGTCCAGCTCACCACATCAGAGAACACGCAGCATGAGGGACAGAGTGGGAGCTCTGGGCACCTGCCTCGGGAAGGTGAAGGGGGCGGGAGAGGACTCAGACAGGCTGCTGTATGGACTTGGAAGGGCACAGGGGGAGAGCCTTTGCCCGACAGATGCACCTTCCTCCTCCTGTATGCAAATACCTGCGGTTGATGTGGATGGAAATTCACAAAACGAGGAGTTATCAATGGAAATGAAAAATGCTCCGAGTGAGGCTGGCCTCTTGCTTCATAGCGGCAACAAAGCGCTTCCGTGTTTGAAAGAATCATTAAGAAGAAATTCAGCTTCCGTAGTGGGTCAGAGTAAGACTGTGCATGTGTTCTGTGCTCTTGCAGAAGAGCGTTTTGCTGGGGTGTCCTGCAGAGTGGGGGAAGCTCTGGTGAGGGACTGGCTGGAAGGAGGGCCCAGGGCCACCGACAGCCACGGAGGATGGTGCCGCCCAGGAGAGCCTTGGGCGTCAGGACTACCGTGCCCTCAGAAGCGATCAGAAATGGGGATTTCTGAGGAGGAACCGCCAAGTGCTCTTTTAGAGGGGCTAGGCTTTGAGTTGGAACTGTCTGGCCTGCATTTCGTCCTGTCTACACCGCTGCACGCACGCCCCGAAGTTTTCCTGAGTGATGAGACAAAATGTGTTTTCCTTGGCCACCCAGAGCCCCTGTTTTCAGAGCAGACAGTAGAATACAAGAAAATGCTTTCAAGTATAAAAAGTACCTCAAACGATCGGCAAATAATACTGGGGTTACAGGCTCTACCAGCTTTTGAAGTAGCAAATCCGTTACGCCATAGTTAGGGTACAAGCCGAACAATAAAAATAGTGAGATTAATTTTAAAAGTTGTCTTAGAATGATTTCTTTCACACTGAGTCTGGATGCACAAGGGGCAGCTCTGAAGGTCCTGCTTCAGTTTGTACGATCGGACAAACTTTAAGTGGAATTTAAACTCATGGGAAGTTGGTTGATGTGACAGGAGATTTTTAAACATGTTTTAACCTGTGCCTGAAAGATGTTCAGTGTTGGGATACCATTTCGAGGAGAACATTCATAGATCCCATATAAATGTCAGGTTACAACGTAAAGATGTAATAACATTCTTTATGTATCTTCAGCGCTCATTCTAAAGGGCCACCGTCCCAGATACTGTCTCCTCAGACTGATCAGCGGGTGGGAGAGGCTGTTTGTTCAGATCAGCCCTTCCCTACCTGCTCTCGGCCCTGCCACCATTTCTGCATTCTGTAGAATAATTTGGGTCTGCAGCAAAATTTGATTTCTTTTCTCAAATCCCTTTCCTTCCCCTTGAAATGCAGTTTAAATGGAGGCCCTACGGTGAAAGTTGCAATATTCAGTGTCCTTTTAGTATAATCCTTTCTCAAACTAGGAGCCCTAGCAGTGTCGCCTAAAATAGAAATGACCTCGAGACCGTCAGCGGTAGCTCCGTTTAGGGGGAGACAGACCTTATACTGCCCCTGTAAAAAGTTTCCAGTTTCCAGGAGCAGAGATGTCTCTTACACTAACATTTTTTCTGAAGTAGCCCTTCTGGTGGTTGAGAACTCTGGTAAAGGTCCCCTCAGAGCATGAGTTTTTCAGGAGTCCCAAAGTAAGACTTAATCAGTTTCGGGGTTACTGGTTGCCTTTCTGTTTGTGTGCTAACTTGCTATGCCGTGTGCTATTTTAGTGTTTGGGGAAAACGAAAAATAAAACGTGTTATTTAGCATAATAAATGTCTTCTTTTACGTGTGCAGTCTCGGTTCACCTTGTCTTTTATCAGCACTGTCTTCCTCATATTGAAAAGTCTTTTAGCACTGGTCCAAGTAGGCTGCCGACTTAGAAGACCGGAAGCAGAGCTTGAAAGACAACCCGCGAAGCCAGGTCGGAACTCTCTGCTCTCATTTTCCTCCCAGGACATAGTGAGAACGTGTTGTGATCCTCTGGTGATCGCCGCCACCGTGAAGGACGCTGTCCTGGTTGGGCAGTAAGAGCCCTGTTTGGGGTCACCAAGGGATGGTGAGGTGAGAACACGGAATTGTTTTAAAATGGGAACCGTTTTCTTGTCAAGCACCTGCCCGCCCTTTTTTGTTTTAAATTAAATCTACTCCTTTGGGATAGAACTTTCTGTGACCCATCGACTGTTTTATTTCCTTTGTTTTGTAAATTGCAAGAATAGAAACTTTCAACCAGTTGCAAAGAACAAATATGGAATTCTCTATTGAGTATCCGATGCTAAATAAATTTGGAATGTCTTCATGTGGTTATATTAGAATAAGTTGTGTTTTTTCTGAGTGCCACTTTGGGGGAATGTTCACTATAACAACTTATTTCTTTAATTTTTTAATACATGGGGCGCCTGGGTGGCTCTGTCAGTTAAGCCTCTGCCTTTGGCTCAGGTCATGATCCCAGGGTCCTGGGATCAAGCCCCGGATCGGGCTCCCTCCTCTTCCTCTCCCTGTGCTTGTGCTCTCTCTCTGTCAAAAAAATAAAATCTTAAAAAAAATAAAATTTTTAAGTACACATAATATTTGGCCGAAATTTTTCCCTTTGGCGCTGTGTCCAGTTCCTGTTCGAAGACAGGCCTCTCCTGTGGGAAGTTCTAGGGTGGAGAGGTGATGATAAATGCACTGTATAAAGTTTCATGACTTTACAAAATAAGGCCTTCTATAAACATTTTTCTGAGGCAGTTAGTATAGAAATATGATATTCTTTCAGATAAATTGTTTCCATGATTGAGTTATAAAAGGGATAAGTCTTTTAAGTTTTCATTTTATTTATTAAACAATTTTAATTTGTTTTTTAAAGATTTTATTTATTTATTTGAGAGATAGAATGAGAGAGAGCACAAGAGGGAAGAGGGTGAGAGGGAGAAGCAGACTCCCTGCTGAGCAGGGAGCCCGATGCGGGACTCGATCCTGGGACTCCAGGATCATGACCTGAGCCGAAGGCAGTCGCTTAACCAACTGAGCCACCCAGGTGCCCTAAGTTTTCATTTTAATTCCAGTTAACATACAGTGTAATGTTAATTTCAGATACAATCTAGTGATTCAGCACTTTGTAGGTCACCTGGTGCTCCTCACGACAGGTGCAATCCTTAATCTCCATCACCTATTTAACCCACCCCCTCCTCCCTCACCTCTGGTCACCATCAGTTCTCTGTAATTAAGAATCATTTCTTGGTTTGTCTTCCCCCCCCCCCCTTTGCTTATTTGTTTTGTTTCTTAAATTTCACATACGAGTGAAATCATATGCTGTCTTCAGAGACATATGCTGACTTAAATTTTGCTTAGCATAATACTCTCTAGCTCCATCCATGTTATTGCAAATGGCAAGATTTCATTCTTTTTTATGACTAATATTCCATTATACACACACACGCACATACCACATCTTTATCCATTCATTAATCGATGGACACTTGGGGTGCTTCCATATCTTGGCTATTGTAAATAATGCTGCTGTAAACAGGGGTGCGTGTATCCTAAAAGGGAGAAGTCATTTAAAAATTTTTAGGTTGTATCATTTTGGCAATGAAAACTGAGGGAAGTTTGCTTTAGAAGTTAAGTTTTTATGGCTTTGTTTTTTGCCTTTGTGGATTCTGCTCTTAAGGATTGAACACAATCCTTTTAAATTTAGAAGCACTTCCCATAGTACAAAATCTTGGACTTGGTTATTCACATATGGAAGTCATAATTTTTAACATTGGAATGAACAGTGAGGTGTTGAGTGATTATGAAGTTGCAAGCCAATGACGAATAAGAAATTAAGAAACTTGCGTTTAAATAGATCCTTGTAGGACTACTGGTTTTGTAAATAAGGCATGTTTATTTGGAGCTTGCTGTACATCACTGTGTATTCAAACAGACTATTTACTGTAGTTTTCCATAGAAAAAGAAGTGTACTATAGAATTCTCCCTATATTCACCCATAGATAATTTTAAAATTCTTTTTAAACCTTCCAAAGAGAGAATTAAGGGGTCTCCTAAACAATCTAGATGAGCTCAGAGCTAGAAACTGTGTTCTTTGCCCTGGCTAGTGGTGGAAGCTTTGAAACACACCCCATCTGAGTGATAGATTCAGTGTAGATATTTGAAGTTAGAGACCTAGAATTTAATAGGATGGTTGCTTCTACTTGGCTCCTCTTTGCTTCTAAAATGTTATCTTTTTTCCAATTTTATTTTTATCAAAACTTGATCAATCGGGTCAATGAAAGAGGCATTTGTGCTTCAAACTGTGCAAACTTCTTTGAGCTCTACGTTGGATTGACCGAAATTTGCCTAGGAAAGACTGTTTGCAAAGGGGCTTGCCGCTTAGGAGAGGCCATCTTCACAGGATACACTTTTCCTCTTCTTGGAACAGATGATCTTGCTTTATTGAGGCACATGTTTTAAGGGAAGTGTTTGGGTTGAGTTGGGAGGGTGTGTGGCGGCCCTGCTGCATCCGACCATTGCATTGCCATCTTTATAGCTCGCGCCCGTTGGGTCTGAGTCGTCCTTGAGTGCTGTGTTTTCTTCCGGTAAACAGCTCCGTTATTTATGGGAGCAAGAGTGGGCTTTGCTGCAGTTTCGCTCTGCTGGTGTCTTGAGTAGCTCTTTACAGTTAATTTTTCAAAGTGTTTAGTTACATAACAATATAAGGAGTTTTCCTGGGGCAGCTGTGCTTCTCCTCCAGGGTATTGACAGGGGAATTCTCCAGTTAACCGAGTCACGCTTTCAGGTTTTTGTTTGTTTTTTTTTAAGGCAGTGGATTTATCCTGTTTTCCGTCTCCTGCCTATTATTTCTGCTCTCATAAAATGAGTGATTTGTTTGAAGATTGGGGAATAGGCTCTGTTTTCTTTCTTTTTTTTAAAGATTTATTGATTTATTTTAGAAAGTCAGGGGGAGGAGCAGAGGGAGAGGGAGAAGCAGACCCCACCCCACCGCCCGCTGAGCACAGAGCCAGATGTGGGGCCCTGATCCCAGCACCTGAGATCATGACCTGAGCAGAAATCAAACGGACACTTAACCAACTGTGCCATTCAGGCACCCCTAGGCTCTGTTTTCTTTTTTTTTTTTTTTAAGATTTTGTCAGAGGGTGAGAGGGAGCTTACAAGCAGAAGGAGAAGCAGGCTCCCTGCTGAGCAAGGAGCCTGATGTGGGACTCGATCCCAGAACCCTGGGATCATGACCAAAGGCAGATGTTTAACTGTCTGAGCCACCCAGGCGTCCCCAACCTCCTTTTTTTTTTTAATTTTTAAGATTTTATTTATTCATCGGACAGACGCAGCGAGAGAGGGAACACAAGCAGGGGGAGCGGGAGAGGGAGAAGCAGGCCTCCCGCGGAGCAGGGAGCCCGATGGGGGTTCGGTCCCAGGACCCCGAGACCACGACCCAAGCCGAAGGCAGATGCCCAACAACTGAGCCACCCAGGCGCCCCCCCCCCCTTTTTTAAAGATTTTATTAGGCTCTGTTTTCTAATTCCGGAAGCTTATCTCCTATTACACTGAAGTCTGCCAGCACTCTACCACTGCTGATTAATAAGAAGACTTGGAGGAAGCATGTCTCTGCTCCTTTGACAGGAGTTGCTGTATAGAGAAACAGAACCAATAGGATGTAGAGATACAGATAGACAAGGATAGTTGTTAGAGGAATTGGCTCACACGATAGTGGAGGCTGAGAAGTCCCACCATCTGCCATCTGCACGCTGGAGAACCGGGAAAGCCGGTGGGCAAGGCCTGACGATTACGGAAGCTGATGGTGCTCCCGGTTCAAGTCTAAAAGCCCAAGAACCAGGAGCACAATGTCTGAGGGCAGAAGCTGGAGGTCTCAGCTCAAGTGAAGAGCGAGCAAAATTGCCCCTTAACTGCCTCCTTCCGTTCAGGCCCCACGTGGGTTGGATGATGCCCACCCAGATTTGCAAGGGCGACCCTTACTCTACCAGTTCTCTTCTGGAAACGCTCTTAGAGACACACCCAGAGATAATGTCTTACCAGGCATCCGGGCGTCCCTCAGCCCAGTCAAGTCGATGTAAAATTAACCATCACTGTCGTTCAGCTGCCTCTTGTCAGCTGAGTTCTCAGATGCCCTGAAAAGTCTGCTTTTTGTAGGACACCCGAGGAATGCCATAGCTAGGATACAGCAGTTTCTGGTCACCACCGCTCCCGCTCCGAGACTTGGTAAGTAAGGACTCACACCTGTGCAGAAAAACCTGCTTTTTGTAGGAGTGATCTGGGAAAGGAGGGGTGTTGTCTTATTTTCACTACAGGTACTTTGTTCTCTAGGTGGCGAGTGCCAACAGACACGTGTCTGAATTCATGCAGAAACTGAGAGCGCAGCAGTGGGGGGCACACCCCCCTTCCCCAGCCTCGTGCCTCAGGGGAGTGGGCTGATTCCGCTTCCCTGCACCCAGTTGAGGGGCAGCGGGCCTCACTGGTAGATTCATGTTCACATTTCCCACTCTGCCGTGTAAAACCAAGGTTTGGCAAATAACGTGATTTTATTTATTTTTAATTTTTTAAAAAGATTGTATTTACAGGGGTACCAATGAACAGGTTTTAAAAGAAAACCCAGGGGCGCCTGGGTGGCTCAGATGGTTAAGCGTCTGCCTTCGGCTCAGGTCATTATCCCAGGGTCCTGGGATTGAGCCCCACATCGAGTCCCACATCGGGCTCCCAGCTCAGCGGGGAGCCTGCTTCTCCCTCTCCCTCTGCCCCTCTCCCTGCTCATGCTCTCTCTCTCTCTCTCTATCTCTGTGTCTCAAATGAATAAATAAAATCTTTAAAAAGAAAAAAAAAAAAGAAAACCCAGGACTTTTTGGTCGTACTAATAGCCATATCAAAATACTTAAACTGTGAAAAAGATGACACATTTTTCCCACTGAGAAAGGAGGAGGCCTCCACAGGATTTCAGCCCTGGGGTGTCTTACTCCCCGGGGCAGGTTTCTCGGCCTGAACTGTTCTCATCTGAAATGAACTGGACATTTTCATCCTTTTTCTGGATCTCCCTTCCTCCTCCCAACACACTAAAACCCAGGGCATTGAGTAGTGAAGTGGTCAAGGTCAAGTCTGAGAGTGAAGTGCTAGGTATTTTGCCACTTTCATGGTCAAAGGACAAACTCACGGCTAACCTACAGGAAGCTGATGGAAAAACAAAATCATTTTTTTCATGTAATATTCACCATATTAAGTGATGTGTTAAAATAAAAAGGTTGGTTCCAATCTCCGAGGACCCTTTTTAGAGACCATGTGACAAATTCAGGGAATTAAAGAGTCTCAGAGTACGGGGATTACG